GAGAGTCGATACTTTATCGTCGACAAAAACCGAAAAAAAAAATTTATTTTTATTTAATCGCGATGACCATCCCACTTCTGACACCAAAACTGTTGCGTAGGATTCTATGGTCTTGGGGTGCACACGAAGTAAATAGTCGAGGAACTAGTATCAACGTCTTTATTAATGCAAAAACGAGAGAAGAGCGCGTCGCGTGTGTACGACCTTCGTCCTTAACGGTTCCAGCCAGAGAGCACTCCTTACAGCATCCTATCTGCTTATCGCTTTGCTCCCTCCCACTACAATCATCTGTAGTAGGCCCCAAAAAGAGGGGGCGCACGTACGTGTAGCTATGATATCGTACGTGACAATATCGATAGGACAAAAAATCTACCCTATATTTCAATTTGTATCGGAATATCAATCCGCTATATATATAAAAGACGCTTTTTCTCAGTGGATGGAAGATGGTGCTCTAATACCGAAGGAAATCGTTACCGATGGTTCCAGTGCTTTACAAAGCTCTATCTGCATGGCATTTAACAACTGTTTAACAAAACATTATTTATCTATTTGTTTGAATGTCCTTACGGGAAAAGAAACTAAAATGCCTCCCTGTTTTTTAAGGTCGGACATTGCACACCTGATTAAATCAATAACGCGTTGGCCATTATTTAAAAATTACAACTCTAACGTAAAAGATTTTTATTTAAGACTAATATCTTATTTAAGTAAGTGCTACAGCTATGCAGAATTTAAAGAAATTTTTTTTTCAATCATGCTAGTTTGCCGAAGCCCTGGTGTAAATGATGAATCAGAAGTCCAAAGACATTTAGATAAATTATTATGTACAATAAAAGGTGAAAAGTGTGCTTGCTGCGAAGAAAATTGTACATGTGATTTTTGTCAAGAAAAGCGACCAGACAGTGTAGATTTTCAATATGAAACATACGATGAAATTCAAGTTGGGACCGATAGTCTTTCTGGAGTCCTTAAAACCTTGGAAAAAGAAGCCTTATCATATATTTGTGAAAACGGTGGAAATAACTTTTTCTGTCCAGAATTTGCCAAAAAATTTTTTTTGTTGTCCTTAGAAACAGTTACATGGACGAATGTTGCGTCCTCAGGACGGTCAGAGTCTTTTTTCGCAGATAACATCTATAAGTCGGCCGATTTGTGGTCAACTGTTTCTTGCCATATATATAGATTTTCTTGACGGTTCGATTCGTTTAGCCCTTAGAGAATATATACATGGAGGAAGCATTGTATGCTCCGACCGCGAGACGAGATGAGAGA